TTATATGATAGCCATCGCAAAATAAAATTTGAACTATTTCCAATAGAGACTATCGATATTGCGGTGACTCAGTTAAATCTATCCAACGTAAAATTATAATCATTCAGTCGATTACAAGAACGTAAATAAATTAGATATTTGTCATCCAATTTAGGTGTTATCAATAACAACAATAATAATTCTGATATTTGTATAATTGGATGTTTTCCAAATTTGTGGAAACGCTTCCCATACAGATAAATAGCCATAAATTATGATATCTATCTGCTGGTGGTAGAAATGGCTGTTAAGAGATTGATATAGGTGTAGTGCTTACTATCATTCCAAGTTGAAATTATTCAATCGGTCAAAGTACAGAACACATGTCACATCGTATGATTTCGATTGATTAATATTCAAAATATGTGCTCTCATAACAGATGATAAAATTAGCACTACGACTGGTGATCAAGGAAGTTTTGTTGCTAAGAATTAACATGGACTCATCATTGATTGTAAATTGCGTCTATTTCTAATAGAAATGAATAATATTTGTATACGCTCCTGTAATAAATAGAGTAATAACTTATCGCCACTAGCTTTATCCGATATTTTCACAATGTATAGTACATATGTCTGAATTAATAGTAGAATTGCTTTCTCCGCTGAATTAAAAACATCAAAAGTGACGATTAGAAATGAGAGGTTTTCATCACAATAACTTCGTAACGAAGTCGAATATACAACCGAAGAAATTGTATACTGATTGTTAATTGAAAATAACTACATTTCTCATGATAGCTCAGCCGCTTCTGTATTAAACTAGCTTCATAATATAATTTTAGAATTTGCACGTTGATTGGATGATAAACCAGTCTTTGAAAGATGTAAACATAATGGAATTAGAAATGCGTTCCGTGTGGTAACATTAATTTGTTTACAGTAATTAACACGTAGGATAGAATTTATGCTATATAACAGACTTATCGCGATCATGGTAGTGGACAGACGATACTGAAGGAGTTAGATAATATCGTATAGATTGATATCCG